CGATTCGGACCAGTAGATTTCGAGAAAATCCAAAAAAAGTGAAAAAAAAGCGAAAAAAAAAGTTGTGTTTTTTTTCAGTTTTTTTTTAAATATCTCCGAATTGGCTGAACCGATCGGTCTCAAAAACTAATCAGCTCTTAACCTTGAAAACCCCCATGGATCACCACCAAAAACGTCAGAATCGGTTGATGCGTTCGTGAGATATCGTTGTCGAAAAAAGTGTTTTTTTGTAATAACTTCGAAATTCATGGCTCGATCGATTTAAACTTGAAAATTTTTCGTGGAGCTTCAGAAACTGCGTCGATTGCCGCCAACCACTTGAAAATCGGTTCATTCATTCAAAAGTTATAACAGTTTGAAAATTAAAAAAATCCTGTTTTATCAAATTTTGATAAGACTTTTGAGCTCAAAGAGCCCAAAAGCTCAAAACAGCTACTTTTTATACAGCTCAAAAAACTACATCGATTGCCGCCAACCACCTGAAAATCGGTTCATTCATTCAAAAGTTATTGCCGTTTGAAAATTCAAAAAATTGTGTCTTTAAACTGCTATTAGAGTTTTGAGCTTGAAGAGCTCAAATTGACACAAAAACAATATTTTTGAGCTCGAAGAGCTCAAAAACGTAATGTGTAGTTTGAAGCGTTTAAGTACAAAATGAGCGGGAAGTTGCAGGGATGGCCTTTAGGGTGAACCGTTTTTTTAATTTTCTTTTTATTTACACTATTATTAATTTATAGTTATTGAAATTTTTAACACTATTCTTAATTTAAATTCATTTTCTATTTTTTAGTTTGGTTTTCTACAACAAGCGTGTTTTTAGTTTTTTTAAACTATCATTTATTTAAATGATTTTTATAGAGATAATTTATTTTTACACAGCTGTAGATCTGTCCCGAAATTAATGGATGAAAATTTTTTTTGAATATTTTAGGACGTTTTTGGGACATTTTAAGAATTTACGAATTACCCATTATTATTACATTGTTCCTAAACATTTAATATTGTAAATATTATTCAACTTGCTGTATAACATTCATTAAATCGATTTCTGCGTAAGTTTATAAATTGAAAATTCTTAAATAAATGTTACTTGTCTCATTTTTATAAATATTGAATATTAATTGTGTTTTATGGATCATGTTATATTCATACTCCGATACGGTGTAAATTTATTCTACTGTTACACCGGTTTAACACCGGATTTCTAACACCGCAAAAGAGCACCGCTACACCGGTGTTAATACACATGTGTTACATAGCGATGTTAAAATGAGTCCATTTCAGCACCGCTTTTTTTACAGTGTAGTATTTAAATCGAAAACTTTTTACTACTAAATTCATTGTCAATAATTTTAGATTTTTTTTTTCTAATCAGAAAAATTATGAATTATTCAATCTTTGTAAACTTACCATCATTAAATTTAGTCTGTTTATCATATCTAGTTCTATAAGTTATCGACGGTAAAACGCTTTGAGGTAACTGATTGAATAGATTCCTGGTCCAAGGCGATGGAGCAATATTCGCGAAAACATTTAAAGTTACAATCGCAACTTCTTCTTTCTTTACGAAACAATAATAAACCTTGGAATTTTGAAACGCATTTTGATACCATTCAAATTCTTGAGCTGCAATCATAGCCCTGTAACCACCTTTGTCAAAAACGGAAATCGTTTCTATTTGCGGCGTCGGTACCGCTAGGAACAAATTTATCATTGGCCTGCTAAGATTTAATTTTTCATAAATCTTTACCAAAAATTTAATTCTTCGGGTCGGCGATTTTTTAAACACCTCACTGTCGCTCAGCAAAACGAAATCGACTTCATCGTCTGCTAGAAAAATTCTGTCCGTGCCCCAAAATCCTATGGTTCCAAATTTCATTCGACAATTATCGAACAAGTATCTCTAAATTCAAAGAAATTAGTTAATAAAAAGTCTATTTATATTTCCTATTCTTACAATCTTACCATCATATGATTGAACAAATCTAAACCGTCTTCAGGTGGAATTTGAATTTTTCCAATTACAAAATTTTGAATCAATACTAAAGCAATTAGTTTTTTCATTTTCAAAGTTAGACTTACTGCGAGCAAGTTTAAGCTTCGACTGGTTACTTGCTGTGCATAATATTGATTCTTACTTATATATGGAATTTTTTAGTCACCACAGTTTGTTTTGTAGATATAAAGTCTTTTATTAGAATAAATATGACCGTCAAATCAGTAGCAAATGTTTGTGAAACGTAATTTATTGACTGTCGTTACATATTTTATGAAAAGCATGGACTTTAAAAATTAATTTCGATAGTAATCGACGATTTGTAAAACGGACCTTGAAAGCATACAGTAATAATAATAATAAACTGTACATGAATCAAGTAAGAATATTTTATTACTTTGTAACAAGAATTATTAGTCGCCTTTATTAAATTTGATTATATTAATACGTAGCTAAAATCATTTCTCTCATCGAAAAAGATTTCGTTCACACAAAGAGGAAAAGAATTGAAAATTAAAACAAAAATCTGATTAAAGTTATTTATAGAAGATTTACTACATTAATTTTTTCTAACAAATATACATACAAAATCAATAACTAAACTAATTGATTGATGTTAAATTAAATACGTACTCTCACCCAATCAACGACGTTAACTAAATTAATATACAAACACTTTAATAGTATGCGAAATTTGAAAATAACAAAATGCACAATATGTATCGTAGATTGTTTCACTGTCGATAACCATGAAGTTATTTTGATTTTGTCTGACGCGAAAGTTTTCAATGAATTTTCTAGAATAAAAGAAATGATCGCGAAAAATAGACCGATGCCCAGAAAATAAAATGCAAAAGTCACATCTTCTAATTCAATCGGTCGATGATAGTTTTCAACATTATCTTCCATTTTTCTTAAATGATATGTTAAATTTTTACTAGTCAATTCTTGCCAAAGGCTGATCCAAGCATTTCTAATTCCAGACTGTTCTAGACGCATAAGCAAATTATTAACACGGTGTTTTAAAGCCGAGTTATGAGGCATTGTCAGTGTGGCGTAGTTTAGTTTAAAGAAATTTTTAGGGGTGTGCAATTTATAAGTTGCTATCAACGGGCTTAAATAACTTTGTTCATCAATGCAAGCGACTGATGGATCTACGATGTATTTTTTACATTCATTTTTGCCAAATGAAGTTTTTTTGTATAACGGCGTGCCATTGATGTAGTCTGCATTTCTAATACCTGCGTAAATTTTAGTGTAACGAGGATCTTCTAGATCTTCTAGAGTCTCGACATTTTTTCTGTACACAGGTTTGATCAAAAAAGCCGCAAGGTGACCAGAAAAAGTTGCCTGGATGATCAGAAAGTACAAGAATATAACAGAAAAAAATATTCGCATCTTAGCTGTGTCCATCCGCGTGTAAATCGAATTGCCTATAAGTAATCTTAAGCACTCAAAAACTGCAAAAGAAAATTTAGAACTATTTACACTCTTTGGTAGATAAATAACGACTAATACAACTAAAAGGATGATCGAAGTTGCGATGGGGGTCAGCCACCCGTAAAACTCAAACATTTTTTCCAAAGGCGTTGCTAATCCACGATTCTGCGTTACTATGTGCTCATAGAAGAAAAAAAATGGGTACGACAGATGAACATAATTCATCATATCGAATTCTCCATCATTGTTCATCCAAGTAGTCAGAGTAAGATCTATTTCAATATCACCACTCATTAAAAGTTCGAAAGGGTTAAGGGTAATGTCAATCGGCATGCCGTGAGTTATTTCTATTGATACGTTCAAAGAATCTACTAATGCTTTGCTAAATAGTCCGCGCCTTAAACTAAATACGGCAGTGAGCTGTTCAATATCAGTGGCTTTAGTAATTAATCCATCAATTTTTTTAAAGATTGGATCGAAATAATTATATATTTTTGCTGCTGCTCTGATCGTGTAGCCATTTAGTTTTTCAGTCCGATCAAAGAATATATTTTTGCAGAGCTGAGAACCTACTGGGAAAATAAAATCTATTATTTATGATTCTTGTGCTCCCTAAAATCAGTATTATTAAATTGAGATCAAACATGTGAAGCCAATTTATTCGTAATCACTTTGATTGGTAAAATATATCAAAAGCATAGAAATATATGTAATTCTATCGAAAAAATTTTCTTTATAGTAGTATTTTTCCCCCTTCAACATGGATTTAAATATTATGTGTTATCTTTTAAACTCACCATAATCAAATTTGGTTTCTTTTTTGTATATCGCACCAAAATTCCACCACTCTACGGAACTATTATCAGGATTAATGGATGGATATATTTGAGGAACCTTTATCCAAAGTGCTTGAGCAACATCCGCAAAAGCATTAAAAGTTATTATACCAATTTGTCTTTCCCACTCGAAACAATAATAAACCTTAGAATTTCGAAATAGCTTTTGATACCAATAAAATTCTCCAACCGCAATCCGAGGTCTGTTACCACCTTTGTCAAAAACGAAAACCGTTTCTATTTCCGGCGTCGGTACCGCTGAGAACAAATTTATTATTGGCCTGCGGAGATTAAATCCTTCATAAATCTTTACCAAAAATTTAATTCTTCGGGTCGGCGATCTTTCAAACACCTCACTGTCGTTCAGAAGTACAAAATCGATTTCATCGTCTGCTAGAAAAATTCTGTCGATGCCCCAAAATCCTATGGTTCCAAATTCCGTTCGACAATTATTGAACAAGTATTTCTAAATTCAAAAATAATTAGTTAATAAAAAGCCCAATAATATTTACTATTTTTACAAACTTACCATCATATTATTAAACAAATCTAAACCGTCTTCAAGTGGAACTTGAACTTGCCCAATCACAATACTTTGAACCAACATCAAAGCAATTAGTTTCTTCATTTTCAAAGTTAGACTTACTGTAAGCAAGTTTGAGCTCCTACTGCTTGATTGCTGCGCATAATATTGATATTCTTATTTATATCTGTAATTGTTTAGTCACTATAGTTTGTTTTGTACATATCCGGTCTTTAATCAAAATAAAAATGACAAATCATGATCTTGTTGATAGTGTGATCGTCAAAACAGTAGCAAATGTTTGTGGAACACAATTTATTGATCATCGTTGTATATTTTATGAATATTACGGACTTGGTAAGCTAATTCCAACAATGATACACAATTAGTGGGGCTAAAAGATATTTAATGACGAGCATTAACAGAAACATTATCATATAAATGTACAGCTAAGTTCACATTTCTATGCTGAGAAAATTCATCCCAACTGTTAACGGTACAATCTCTCAAATAGTCTGCGAAATTCAAAAATATAAAAGCGTACGATAAGTATTATAAATGGTTTAATTTTAGATAAACAAGTCAATATTTTTGTTTTGTTTAACGTGCAAATCTTAATCAAGTTTTCTGCAATAAAACACACTATCGAAGAAAAAAGACCGATTCCAAGCAAAACAAATGCGAAGATAACACCCTCCAGCTTAATCGGTCGATGATAATTTTCGATGGAATATTCAATTATTTTCAACTTTTTTCTGACTTTTTTACTGCCATTTTGGAACCAAAGGTCCAGAATTCCAGACTGCGTCAAGTGCATAAGCATATATTATCAACGTGGTGTCTTAAAGCTCAGTTAGGAGTCATCATCAGTGAGGCGTAGCTAAACCTAACGAAATTTTTAGGAGTGTGCAAATTATGACGAAGTATTAATTTTAATAAATTTTGGTGTTGATCGATGCAAGCGACTGATGTATCGTTGATGTATTTTTCACAATTATATCGTCCAAATATAGTTTTATTGTATAACGGTGTGTTTCTTATGTAGTCTATACTTTCGTTGAGTGCGTAAGTTTTAGTGTAATGAGGATTCTCTAGATCTTCTAGTCTCGACATTTTTTCTGTACACAGGTTAGGTCAAAAAAGCAGCGAGGTGACCGGAAAAAGTTGCCTGGATAATCAAAAAGTACAAAAATATAACAGAAAAAAATATTCGGATCTTAATTGTATTCATCCGCGTGTATATTGAATTGGTTATCAATAATCTTAAACACTCGAAGACTGCGAAAGATATTCTGAAGCGTTTTCCTCTATTTGATAGATAAATGACGATGAATACTATGAAAATGATGAAAAGAGTAGCAATAATAGTCAGCCACCCGTAGAACTCGAACATTTTCTCTAGAGGCGTCGCTAATCCACGATTGTGCGTCACTATCTGCTCATAGAAAAAGCTCAATGGGTATGACAGGTGAATACGTTTCGATATATACATTGTATTTTCCACCAGTATCCACCAAAATAGTAGGTGTAAGACATAATTCTACACTACCGTGTTCTATCAATTTCGCAATATATGAGGTCTGATTACCCAGAATTGTTCTGTGAGTTATTTCGATCGTGACGTTCAAATAATTTGTTAATATTTTGCTCACTCGTTTTATCCTTTTAGTTATCATGTAGGGGCCTTGGCTAGTGTAATTGGCTTTAGTGATTGATTTTTCTAACTTTCTGAACTTTTTTTTGGAACGATTTTTCAATATTGCAGCTGCTTTTATTTTGTAGCCGTCAAGTTTTTTAGTGCAGTCAAAGAACATATTTTTGCAGAGCTCGAAACCTGCTGAAATTAATAACTGATACTTAAGAATATTCTAATACTGTGATTAGCTAAAGAAGAAACACTTAATCTTTGTTTGAAAACGATATTTGAAAATATTACCTTAACGTAATTTGTATATATCTGTAATATTTTTTACTACTTTTAAATCAGCTTCAATAATTATAAATATCGTTTTTTAATCAGAGAAATCATGCATTTTTAAACCGTTCAAAACTTACCATAAATAAATTTAGCCTCTTTATTGTATGTGATTTTAAAAGTTGACCATAGTCTATCAATTCCAATAATCTGAATAAACTGACCTCCGATCCATGGTGTTGGAGCAATATTCGCAAAAGTGTTCAAAGTTATTATTACAATTTCATCATTCTGCATGTAACAGTAATAAACCTTAGAATTTTTTAATTTCTTTTGATACCATTGAAAAACTTTCAGCATGATTGGTTTTCTGTAACCACTTTCATCGAAAACAGACATGTTTTCTATTCTCAATGTCGGTTCCACTGTACGCAATCTAACTGCAGGCATGCGGTGATCGAATTTAGTGATAACCGCCACAAAAAAGTTAAATCTTCGAGTTGGCGGTCTTCTAAACACACTACTTCGGTTCACCAAAACGAAATCAACTTCATCATCTACTAGAAAAATTTTATCCGTACTCCAAAATCCTATGCTTCGAAATTCTGATCGACAATTATTAAACAAGTATCTCTAAATTCAAAGAAGTTAGGTATTAAAATCCTATTAATATTTACTCTTTCTAAAAACTTACCATCATATTGTTGAACAAATCTAAACCGTCTTCAGGTGGAACTTGAATTTGCCCAATCACAATATTTTGAACCAGCATTAAAGCAATTAGTTTCATCATTTTCGAAGTTAGCCTTATTGCAAGTAAGTTTAAGCTTTTACTGGTTGCTTCCTACGCATAATATCGATATTCTTACTTATATCTGGAATTTTTTAGTCGCCACAGTTTGTTTTGTAGATATACAGTGTTTTATTGGAATAAAAATAACGTATTATGATGTTGTTGATAGCCTGACAGTCAAATCAGTAGAAAATGTTTGTGGAACTCAATTTATTTACTGTCGTTACATATTTTATGAAATGCGCGGGTTTTAATAATTAATTTCAATAATAATCGACAATTTGTAGAGCGGACCTTGTAACCATACAATGATAATAATAAATCTTATATGGATCAAGTAAAATCATTTTATTATTTGGTAACAAGAATTATTAGTCACCTTTAATAAATTTGATTATATTAATACGTAGCTAAAATCATTTCTCTCATCGAAAAAGATTTCGTTAACACAAAGAGGAAAACAATTGAAAATTAAAACAAAAATCTGATTAAAGTTATTTATAGAAGATTTATAGAAGATTACTACATTAATTTTTTCTAACAAATATACACACAAAATCAATAACTAAACTAATTGATTGATGTTAAATTAAATACGTACTCTCACCCAACCAACGACTTTAACTAAACTAATGTACAACCACTTCAATAGTATGCGAAATTCAGAAACAACAAAACGCACAGAATGTATCGTAGATCGTTTCACAGACGATGGCCATGAACTTATTTTCGTTTTGTTTAACGCGAATGTTTTCAATGAGTTTTCTAGAATAAAAGAAATGATCGCGAAAAATAGACCGATGCCCAACAAAACAAATGCAAAAGTCATATCCCTTAGTACGATCGGACGATAATAGTTTTCAATAATATCTTCGATTTTTTTCAAATAATTTGTTGCATTTTTGCATAACAATTCCTTCCAAGCTTTGTTCCAAACGTTCAGAATTCCAGACTGTGCCAAGCGCATAAGCAGATTATTAACACGGTGTTTTAAAGCCGAGTTGTGAGGCATTGTCAGTGTGGCGTAGCTTACTCTAATGAAATTTTTAGGGGTATGCAAATGATAAATTGCTATCAACGGGATTAAATAATTTTGTTCATCAATGCATGCGACTGATGGATCTCCAATGCACATGTATTTTGCACATTCATATTCGTCAAATATAGTTTTGTTGTATAACGGCGTGTCTGTGACGTAGTCTCTACTTCCTTCAGTTGCGTAAATTTTAGTAAAACGAGGATCCTCTAGATCTTCTAGAGTCTCGACATTTTTTCTGTACACAGGTTTGGTCAAAAAAGCTGCAAGGTGACCAGAAAAAGTTGCCTGGATGATCAGAAAGTACAAGAATATAACAGAAAAAAATATTCGCATTTTATCTGTGTCCATCCGCGTGTAAATCGAATTGCCTATCAGTAATCTCAAGCACTCAAAGACTGCAAAAGTAAATTTAGAACTATGTTTACTTTTTGATAGATAAATGACGATTAATACACCCAAAAGGATGATCGAAGTTGCGATGATGGTTAGCCACCCGTAAAACTCAAACATTTTTTCCAAAGGCGTCGCTAATCCACGATTGTGCGTTACTATCTGCTCATAGAAGAAATAAAATGGGTACGACAGATGAACATGATTAGTTGCATCGAATTCTTCATTTTTGTCTTTCAAACTAGACGGACTAAGATATATTTCAATAATACCTCTCATTAAAAGTCTAAGAGGGTTAAGGGTTATATTAACCGGTATGCCGTGAGTTATTTCTATTGATACGTCTAAATAATCTACTAATGCTTTGCTAAATTCTCCTACCCTTAAATCAAGTAAGGCAATGGCTTGTCGAATATCAGAGGCTTTAGTAATTAATCCATCAATTTTTTTATATATTGGATCGAAATGATAATTTATGTTTGCTGCTGCTCTGATCGTGTAGCCATTGAGTTTTTTAGTACGATCGAAGAACATATTCTTGCAAACCACGGACTTTGCTAAAAATAAAATTTATCAGTTATGATTATTGATCAATAAACAAATCGATTGATGTGAAGTGCACTGAAGGAAAAAATTTATTTTGAAAATAAATAATAGTTTAAAAAAACTAAAAACACGCTTTTTATAGAAAACCAAACTAAAAAATAGAAAATAAATTTAAATTAAGAAGAGTGTTAAAAATTTCAATAAATATAACTTAATAATAGTGTAAATAAAAAAAAAATGTATTTTATTTTAAAAAAAGCGTGGGGTGCATGGTGTCAATAGTTATAAATATTTTATTGACAGATATGAGTAGAGTGATTATCATTTTGATAATATCTTAAAAAGCACCCCACGCTTTTTTTTTAAATAAATAGAGATCTCTTAATAGAGATTTGAATATTAAATCTTATCTTTTGAACTCACCAACATTAAATCCAATAGTTTCCGTGAATAGTGTTACATAAATCCACCACTGTACGGAACTATTATCAGGATTAATATGCATATATATTCTAGGATCCTTCATCCAAATTGCTGGAGCAACATCCGCAAAAGAATTCAAAGTTATTATGCCAATTTGTCTTTCCCACTCGAAACAATAATAAACCTTAGAATTTCGAAATAGCTCTTGATACCATTCAAATTCGTCAGCTACAATCGTAGGCCTGTAACCACCTTTGTCAAAAACGAAAACCGTTTCTATTTCCGGCGTCGGTACCGCTGAGAACAAATTTATTATTGGCCTGCGGAGATTAAATCCTTCATAAATCTTTACCAAAAATTTAATTCTTCGGGTCGGCGATCTTTCAAACACCTCACTGTCGTTCAGAAGTACAAAATCGATTTCATCGTCTGCTAGAAAAATTCTGTCGATGCCCCAAAATCCTATGGTTCCAAATTCCGTTCGACAATTGTCGAACAAGTATTTCTAAATTCAAAAATAATTAGTTAATAAAAAGCCCAATAATATTTACTATTTTTACAAACTTACCATCATACTATTAAACAAATCTAAACCGATTTTAGGTTGCACTTGAATTTGCCCAATCACAAAATTTTGAACCAACATTAAAGCAATTAGTTTCTTCATTTTCAAAGTTAGACTTACTACGAGCAAGTTTGAGCTCCTACTGCTTGATTGCTGCGCATAATATTGATATTCTTATTTATATCTGTAATTGTTTAGTCACTATAGTTTGTTTTGTACATATCCGGTCTTTAATCAAAATAAAAATGACGAATCATTTCGAAAAAACGAACAGTTTTCTTGCTGCGCATAATATTAATATTCTAACTTATATCTGGAATTTTAAATCGCTATATATACAGTTTGTTTTGTAGATATGCAGTCCTTTATTGAAATAAAAATGACGTATTATGATTTTGATGATAACGTGATAGTCAAATCAGTAGAAAATGTTTGTGGAAATCAATTTATTGACTGTCGTTACATATTTTATGAAATGCGCGGGCTTTAAAAATTAATTTCGATAATAATCGACGATTTGTAGTACCGACCTCGTAAGCTTACAATCATAATAATAAACCGTACATGGATCAGGTAAGATTATTTTATTATCTGGTAACAAGAGTTAGTCGCGCTTCAATAAATTTGATTCTAATCATACGTAACTAAATTCATTTTTTTTATCGAAAAAGATTTCGTTTACACAAGGAAGAAAACAATTGAAACTTTAGACAAAAATCTGATTAATGTTATTTATAGATTATTTTCTACGTCAATTTTTTCAACAAATTCACACACAAAATGAATGACTACACAGAAAAAAGTAAACTGTAATATTCACTCGGATTCCAGTTAATTTTTATAGTTTCAAACAGTAAAGCAGACATCGGGGTGGCAAAAATATAAATATTACAGAACTTAATGTAGAAAGTATGAAAGCCACAATTTATAATTTAATATCCAAAATAAGTGATTAGTAGCTGTCACTATAGTAAATAACGACTCTTTTATCTTCAAAAATTACAGTTTCAAACAGTAAAAATTGCCATTTAGATATATAGTTCATATTAGGAGGAGAAGGGGAACTCAGATGAAAGAGAAGGGGGTCTCACTCTGGGAGAATTTAACATTTGAAACAGTAAAAATTATACTTGTAAAATATATATTTTACTAGTCTAAGCAAGTCAATAATTACAGTTTGATTTTTAGCGTTGCGTTTAAAATTTATCATTTTACTTTGTAAAAAGTTTGGAAAATCTAAAAGTGCACGACTCATAATGCTCATTTAATTATAAAATATTAAAAAAAAAAAAAAAACTAGGCCCTGATTTAAAAAAAGTATTGAACCATGCAACTGTATATCTATATTGTATGTGTATATAGATATACAGTGTGTGAAAAGTATTGAAAAAGTATTGAATTACATACTTTTTCAATACTTTTCAATACTTTTTTTTAATCAGGGGGGCTGTGCGAATCTCACTCGAATCGAATCGAATCGAATAATGAGATTCGATTCGATATTCGAGTCGAATATCGAATAATTCGAATCGTTCGAATATTCGAATAGTTCGAAAGATTCGAATAAGGTAAAAGACCCCATTAGTGGCGGGGAACCCATTACTGACACTTTCTTTGATTTTGGTACTTATTCAATTAATTAAATCATTAATTTCAATAATAAATATATTATTTCTAATCTTTAAGACCTTTTGATCAAAAAAATTTTTAATTTTATTTTCAAGTAGAATATTTTTTTATTGAAAGAAAAAGTGCCACTAATGGGGGTTAAAGGTGCCACTAATGGGGTCTTTTACCTTAGTTCGAAACTTTTTCGAATCTTAAATGAATTGAGATTATCTCTTATTTTTTATATTTACAACTTTATCATCGCTATATTCGAATAGTTAGTACTTTTGTATTCATTTTAATTCTTAAATTATTCAAATTTTACTTAAATTAATTAATTATATTACTTGAAATCAAGGCTTGAGTATCAAAATATTAAACATTTATTTCTATATCTATTAAAATTAGTTATAACAATGAAAACAACAACGTTAATTACAATTATAATTATATATCATTTATAAGAATTTGAACTATTAAATAAGTTTTTAAGTTTCTGTAACATTAAATGGTTCGATTTAAATTTTTATGTAAAAATAATAATGGACCAACATTATCTGGTGACAACGAACTTCTTTTCTCTGTCACAATATCTCCTGCAGTTGAAAATAAACGTTCACTTTCTACTGATGTCGACGGGATCGGCAGATATCGTCTTGCCATCAACGATAACAGTGGAAGTTTTGTTGATTCTTTCTTCCACCATAAAAGTGGATCATCCCAAGGATCGATCTCAGCTATATATAAATACTGAATCAATTCCTGATCGATGTCTTTTTCAATTCGAATAGTAGTAGATTCTTCTTTACTTGTTCGTCGCTGCTTCATAAAATCCCAAAATTTTGTCGGTTTAACGCTAGCTGACTCAGAAATTGATTCAGACTCGACTTGATAAGTTTCATTCGATAATTTATACGCTATTATTTCATCCTTAATCTCTTTTTTTATTTCTTCTTTTGTTTTTTCATCCGGAAATAAGTAATCTCTGTACCGAGGATCGAGAAAGCTGCATTTGCGGTGTAACGTGTCGCTTTCAATTTCACTAAACCGTATCTTCAAACTTTGGATTAAATTTTTCGAGAAATTATACGCTAATGGCTTATCAGCATCATTCTGGTAGATCTCATGTATCTGGTCAGAGTCATCTATACTATTTATCTCGTTGTTATTGTTATCAGTCGTGTCATGATCACTTTCATCGCTTTCGTCATAAAAATTACCAATAGCATTGTTTGATTTCTCGATAAAATCAAGATTCTCCAATGCTGTCTTGATTCCATTAATGATCGGTTCAATCTTAGACAGCGTAGGATATTTTGAGCCACAGGAGATTTTCGTTGCAATCAGTTGTAACAAAAATTACGCTCCAGCTGACAGTGGAGCGGTCAGTGGAGACGTAATATTATCCAGGTCGCCCAATACAAAACTAAACAAACAAAAAAATGGACTTGGGAGGGAACTCTTCGCCTCCCAAGCAACCAGCAGCTCTTCCTCAGGTTGGGTTAGTGCACGATTTTCTTGGACGCCAGTTGTTCTTTGACTTAGGGAAACAACAAACCCTTTATTTTCAGGGCCAATCTGCAGGTATTCAGGGGAAGACAAATAATATACTAATATTAGGAAAGAAGGGAGGGAATAAACTACGTATATTAAATTATTATTCAATTAGTCGCGATATTAATAAAATAATAAGCTATTTATTCAAACACAAAATACTTAAAGCTAAGTCCAGAGCCGGATTCCTTCGCCGGGTGAACTATATAAAATAACAATAATAATAATTTTTCCGCGTACAATTATTAATTATTAATATAAATCCTGAGTATATTATTAATCTACGACGGCAGTAATTATAAACTAAAAATTATTTAATAATATTGATCAAAGATAAGCCCAAAATCCCCAGTTGGGTTATCTCGACAAAGATAAATAAAAAGTTAAATAAATAATACTGGCTGACTCTAACAACGCTTTTTAACAATACTTTACTCGCCAGGAAACAACACGGTGCGTGGATAGTAATATGGCTCAACTTGTGAGTACTAACCAAAAAAAAGGAAACTCGAACAAGGCGCTAGATCCACACTCTTACACTTTACAGGTTGCCGGGTGTCTCCCGATTTTTATTCTCTGAAAAGCTATCAGACCTCGTGTCCGAATACGAGGGCCTCTCAAGTCGTTTTCTGAAATTATTGATCCCTGTGTTCGCCATCGATACTACAGGAAATTACCCGCGCGAGCAAGGGCTACGACTGGTTATCAATAATTAATATACAATGAAATCATAAATTATAAACATTCCAATACAATTGCTGAAATAAATACCAAAATTAATACTTAAAAACTAATAACCATAGTATATAAATTGTCAAATATATACAATAAAAATGATATACGGTATATAAATCAATAAATTAATATGAAAATCTTAAAACTATGAGACACACCGAGTGTGGATCTGTTGCCAACACTAGGCGCAGAGAGGGACGCACACACGAATAAAATTCGTGTGACACAGTACCAGATAATCCAGGTATCGTAGTGCAACGCGAAAGCACATCTGATAACGGTTGTTGTAACCGCTTCATACGTTCAAGCATGTCGAACTCCGAATTCCAGCGTGTTTTCACCATCTGGATTAATTTTAAAGGAGGTTCATCACTCAAAGTTTTCTGTGCATTTTCAAGATCTCTGCGCGCTAGATCCGAATGATGAAAGTACGTTGCGATGCGTCTTGTCTAAAAGATAGATAAATAAATAGATAAATGTATATATATATATATATATATATATATATATATATATATATATATATATATATATATA